CATAACATTCGAAATTTGTAAAGGTAGTCCTTGATATTTTATTTCTTACAGTGGGACCTATTTAACTATAATAATGTGATAGAAAGACAGTGGTTTCACACGTCCAGTAGTGTTTAATCCAATCAGGGTTCAAACCAGGTGCTTGATAAGTATTCAGGACCAATAGAATAACAAAAGCGGCAAAATATATCTATCTATCTGTTTATTTAAATCTTATAATCCATATAAAGATCCATATGTAATTTAGCGACAACTAAACTAAAACTATTTCCTAATTTAAAAACATAAAAAAACATAAGAAATGTCTAAATGTTTTAACTATTCCACAGGTTTATGAGTTATTTTGTAGTTAATATATGTATTGTCTTAATATACAGATAAGAAATCATCTGGCGTAAGCTAACAATAGAGTTCATCTTTTGAATAGACACTTAATTGAAAAACATATATATTTTTCATTTAATCAAGCTCCATCCATTCTAAATATGTTTGTGAATAAGTTTCAGTAAGTTTTGATAAAATTTCAATCTTCTCTAGATTTTAACTCTATACTAGGAGATAGGGACTACACAACTATACAGGAAGAAAGGGAATGAAAAGGGTAGAGGAAAATGGGAAATGAAGGTATAAGACATAGTAGGGGGAAAAATGAGTATAGGAAAATTAGAAGAAGGCAGAGAAGTAGATTAATTAAATGGAGAAAGAAGATGAAGGGGAAAGGGGAGAGAAATAAAGAGAGAAGAAGATGAAGGGGAAAGGCATAGAGGAAGTAGAGATGATTAGAGAGGGGGAAGGAATAGAGCAGAAGGAAAAGGGGGAAAAGATTAAAGTAAAGGGATAGAGGGGGAAGGAATAGAGTAGAAGGATACAGAAGGAAAGAGGGGGAAAGAAATAGAGTAAGTGAGGAATAAAGAGAGCAGGAGAGAGGGAAAGGAAAGTAAATAGCAGAATATAAATAGAGAAGGAGAGGTAAAAAGAAAAATCTAGGGAACAGAGAAAGCATAAATGAGAAGCAAATTAGAAATGAAAAGAAAGAGAATTTAGAGAAGGAAAAGCTAGATAGTCTATGTGGGAGTAAACAGAAAGAAGGTAAGGAATAGAGAAACTAATAAATAGAGTGCATTGGAAATGTATACAGAAGAGGATGGCATAACACGAGTAAAGGGAATGAAACAATGGGAGTAGCGATTCGAGAGAGAGAGATTAAGAGGAGAAATGAATTATAAAACAAATGTGTTAATTTTTTTTATAATTTTATCATTATTAATTTCTATCATGCTTAATATATATACCTACAATATTACAATCAGGTAAGGGTAAAGCATCCGTGAAAGTGAATATAAACATCCGTAGAAAGTTGAAAATTTGAGCATCGCCCCCCCCCCTTCGCATTTTATATGATGATAAATATTATTATTTTCTATAAAATGAGGGTAGGATGAATTATCGAAAGTTCCTATTTGATCCAGGAACAGATTGACAGGAAGAGATTCAGTCAAATCCCTCTCCTCTCCTCTCCTATCCTTTCATCCCTGCAGACAGATTGATCCACTCTCAAACTATCTATCTATCTATATATCTATCTATCTATCTACATATCTATCTATCTATCTATCTATCTATCTATCTATCTTCTCTCCTCTCCTATCCTTTCATCCCTGCAGACAGATTGATCCACTCTCTAACTATATATCTATCTATCTATCTATCTAGCCATCTACATATGTATCTATCTATCTATCTATCTATCTATCTTCTCTCCTCTCCTATCCTTTCATCCCTGTAGACAAATTGATCCACTCTTAAACTATATAGCTATCTATCTATCTATCTACATATCTATCTATCTATCTATCTATCTATCTATCTTCTCTCCTCTCCTATCCTTTCATCCCTGCAGACAGATTGATCCACTCTCTAACTATCTATCTATCTATCTATCTATCTATCTATCTATCTATCTATCTATCTACATATCTATCTATCTATCTATCTATCTAGCTACATATCTATCTATCTATCTATCTATATATCTCCTCTCCTCTCCTATCCTTTCATCCCTGCAGACAGATTGATCCACTCTCTAACTATATATCTATCTATCTATCTATCTCTCTATCTACATATGTATCTATCTATCTATCTATCTATCTATCTATCTATCTATCTATTTATCTACATATTTATCGATCTATCGATCTATCTATCTATCTATATACATTGTGATCTATCTATCTATCTATCTATCTATCTATCTATCTATCTATCTATCTATCTATCTATCTATCTATCTAAATATCTATGGGAACCCAGCTTTACCTTGAAACTAAGTTTTTTTTTTAAACTTAGACCTTTTTAAACCTTTCGAACTAAGCTAAGAACACTACCGTGGGTCTACTGAGTTCCTTGGTCAAAATTTGAGGCAAATCGGTCAAATGTTCACGAGTTATGATCTGACATACACACAAACAAACAAACAGACATTATTTCATATCTATCTAAATTTTTTTTCTTTCTTTCTATATATCTAGCTATATATTATCTATTTATTTATCTATCTATCTTGGCTCATAATAAATTTTCTTTCGTGTTTATTTTAGGCTGAACCATCATACATTAATATTCTGAATTTTGTGTTTGAAAATAAATACTAAAACTATTGATCTTGAGACAAACCGGTCAAGGCAAGGTTGTAATGCAAGGAAAGTTAATTGCAGTTGTGTATACTATGCGTACATATTGAAACCAGTTCTCTCTGGGCGGAATTTGTAAACAACAACAGATACATCAGTGTTCGAATAGTATCCGAGGAGGTTTAAAGCATTAAATTTTGATAATTTTGATAATTCTCATAATAGTTTCCTATGACCAGAATATTTCATTGATTTTTTATGTCAAAGATGGATCTCAGGCTTCGACATCCGTCTTGTGTTTAGATCACCGCCCAGAGTCAGAACACTGCAGTACAAAAGATGCGTACACCTCTGAAATAACTTTCCTTGCATTATAACCGTGGGTCAAGTCGTTTACGAGTTATGATCGGACATACAAACATTAAACAAACAGATCTGTTTAAATAATTTTAGTTTTCTATTAGCTAATACCAAAAACATAGAGTCCAATATGGGAAATTTATAAGTATCGTTTAATTTTAACTGCTTTGGTTTTCTAATAATTGTTTTGAAACTTTGAAGCTTGAACCACCTCAGTCAGTACCTTAAAAATCAAAAGAATCTGAATTACCTAAATTACCTTTCATAAGAAACAGATTAACATATTCAATCATTCATAGATTTTCAACTCATAATTTTATATTCTAATTTTAAATCAAAACAAATAAAATCTCGTTGGAAAAAATGGTGAAATATTAAAAGGAGGGATGGATAAATAGATGGATGGATGCAAGGTTATAATGCAAGGAAAGTTATTTCAACCTCCTCCGATACTAAACTAACACTGATGCATCTATTCTTGTTTACAAATTCCGCCCAAAGAGAACTGGTTTCAATGGGTACGCAGAGTAGACATGACCGCAATTAACTTTCCTTGCTTTATAACCTTGGATGGATGGATGGATGGATGGATGAATGGATGGGTGGGTGATGAATTGATTGATTGATGACCTGACACTATGTCCTAATCTGTTATCCCGGTTTACAAACACAAAGGCGGAGAAGATACAAAAATTATTTTTAACAAAATTATTTTTGAATATTTCATATCATAAGAAAATGTTAAACTGTGAACACATTTTTTATAACATGGTCCTGTGGGAGGGGGAAGAGGAAGATGACAAGATGGATTAGTACGAAGATTAAGAAGAACAGATTTAATCAGAATAAGAAATATCAGAAACAAAAAATGTTTAAATGATTAAAACATTGAGAATTGTTACATTTGTTAGACGTTGACAAAGTTTCAGGTCATGAAGTTTAATGAAGTACATGAATTATATTCATTTTCCTTGTGTAAGATGCTCAATAAAGCCAAAAGCAAATTTTGTAATGAAACCTGAAAAAGAATAAGCGAGTGTCGTTGTGAGTTTAAGTGAACCTAGATTTAAAGAGGACTATGCACCGATTCTAAACGGTACATAAGAACAACAAATATATGTAAAACTATTCTAAACGGTACATAAGTACAACTAATATATGTAAAACTATTCTAAACTATAAACGGGACATAAGTACAACAAATATATGTAAAACTATTCTAAACGGTACATAAGTACAACAAATATATGTAAAACTATTCTAAACGGGACATAAGTACAACAAATATATGTAAAACTATTCTAAACGGTACATAAGTACAACAAATATATGTAAAACTATTGCAGCAGGAGAGCTTATATAGTTTAAAGCTGTCTTCACAAAGTAAATGAATATTAGTTTGGGTACCCAGCTTAGCCTCTCTAAAAATGTCAACCCACTCAATTTATAAATTGTTATACATGCTCATGAGAATTGAATGGGTTCCTGAGTTATGATCGGGGAGAGATTATTACTATACTTTGGAAGGGAACACCAAATAGTTTATTAATTCATCTTTTCAGGAAATCATAATTAGCGTGTTAATTAATTTTTTATTTTATAACTTTATATGTACAATATGTTTCAATTCTAATTGACTACAGTACTTTTAGATTTCAATAAAAAACTTAAATTATTTACTTGGAAAATCATGTTTTTACTTTTTAACTAAGTTACTAGAAATAATCAGTTAAAACCACAGGGGGGATGATTTCTGTCAATAAATCTATAATTTGTATTATTTCTTATTATTCTGTTTAAACAACTAAACGATCTTTATTCTACAATCTTTATGGATACAGAGCGTCCCATATCATATTAGGTTATCTTCAAGGTTTAACGCCAAAATGAAACCATAATACTCGAAAAAAAACTTTTATTGCCCGCAAGAAAATTCTTATAATATAGCCTTATTCAATTTTCAAAAATGATTTATTCTTCTTAAATTTTCTGATTAGTCCCGAAAATCGTAATTTAGACCGATTGACGATCTAACATGATATGGGACACCCTGTATATAATAGACAAATTTAATTAAACATAATCAAGGGGCGTTAACACCACAGCAGATGTCGCGGTATTAACAGGACAACGGTGGAATTTTGGTGTCGTCTTCCGTTCTTTTTATCACCAAAAGTAACTTAGATTTTTTATTTTTGTAAACGATTAAATATTTGAATATTTTTCGACATATATTGGTAAAAATTTAAAAGGTTGAGCGATTTATTTCTTACACTTAAAAGGAAGAAAGACTAATTCAATAATTCCGCTGTTTTCTGGAAACTTACTGAAAGCGCGCATCCATTAAACCATTTCGGTCAGAGAGAAACCGGAATCAAACGATATTATAGGATCCAGGGAATACGATTTATCGCAAATTATATTTTTAAAAACGTCAGAAATTAAATAAGTCAAAATCGATTAATTATTTACGTATTGGTTTCTCCTGTCCACCCTTTACATTTTTGGAACACTTTTCCTTGTAAACATATTTACAATTCTGAATGTGTGGTTCTCATGTGACTTTTCAAATTTGAGTTTTGAATAAAGGTTTTCTCACACTTAGCACAGGTATACGGTCTCTCTCCAGTATGTTGCCTGAACAAATAATAAAATATAGTCTGTAACAAAGAGCTTTGTAATATGAAGAGTAGACATTGGGATTTATACGCAAAACTAGACGCCACAATTGGGTTCAATAAAAAGCCACAAAATATCGTCTTTTCTATAATTTAAAAAGATTTAAGGACTTTTAAGCATTTCCATCACCAAAAACTTGTGTTTTTACGTAATTTGCCGTTAGCAATGCCTTTATTATCTGTTCAGATAATTCTTATCTTAAAACAGATTGCAATGTAATTGGTTAAAAAAATGTGGCTACTTAAAACCAAGGTTTTTTCGGGCCTTGCTCACGTTAGTGGCCTAAAGTTCTGCTTTAGACTATAACAAAACTATACTTTATGACATCTAACAAATTTTGTTTTAAAATACTTGGTATTTTTCATTACAAATGTGATGCGTAACAAAATCACATTCTTAGCTTTATTTTAACAGGAGAGCATTCTATCCTATAACCGAGTAAAACAAATTTAGAAGTGTATAACCGTGTCGCTATTTTCCCACTAATTTTAGCACCAACAATTAATTTCTTTATTTGATAACTAGATTTTTAATTTCGATCGTTTGAATTTAAAACCAATACTGCAGCCAATGACGTCATATAAAAAATCTTCTACTATTCTACCGTCTTTGGTCTGCTATTTTCTTGCCTTGTCAACCACATTTCAATTGACTTTTGTCTAGAAATATAAGATACTAGCTAAAGTGCACGGCGTTGCCGATTAGAAAAAAAATATTATTTAGATTTTTTTAGCCTATGTTACCCCGGGTACCCATGGGTGTCCTAAAAAATTTCAGCCAATTCGGTCCAACCGTTTGACAAGCTATAGCTAACATATAAATATATATATATATGAGCGAAGAGCTTTATTATATAGTCTGTATAGTAAAAGGTGCTACTTTTTTAAAACATTAGATTATATAATAAAGCTCTTCGCTCATATTTAAGTTAAAACCTTTCTCGAGAATATGCGCGCTTTTGTGACATCATTTTTCAAAATTTATAAAAAGATCTTTTTAGCAACTCTTTGATCTTTTTATATGTCTTTAATCACTTAAAATGTTGTCAAAAATCCCTTTATATTCAAAATGTAGTTAAATTTTAACTTGGATAAAATTTTAAAAAATGTTAATCTCGGATATCATTTAAAATGGAAAATGGAAAATCAACTTTTCTACAGAAACAAAAATGCATCAAACTAATTGAAATGCACTTTGCTGAAAGTATTTGAATGAATAGTTAAGAATACTAAAATACCGTATCCAGGTTGCATTATCATCATCAAGTACTTTGTTCTTTACAGGACTAATTAGTTCAGATTATGGAATGTTTATAATAAATGATTACAAATGATAATAATATAATGATTTTAAAACTCCTTTGTGTGGACAATTTGGACACGTAAATTTATGTACCTTGTATGTACAGTATGAGTTTTCTTCTGATTGAACTTGAGATTGCAGCCAGGATATGCACATGCATAAGGTCGGTCCTGTACATAATATGTCTTCTATCAGATTTTGTTTAAAAAATACCCAAAGTTAATGATTTCAAGAGGTTATTATTACCCAATATATTGTTAAATATTTATGACATGTTTTAACCCACTATTTAAAATAATGTTAAGCCCAGTTTTCCCTCTGTCAGAAACGAAAACATATTCAGGGCTCCAGCGGTGATTAAGATCCAAACTAGTCACTAAGTTTGAAGATTGTACATCTAATATGAAGTTTGCCCTAGAATACAAGTCAATTGCACGTAAGATTAAAATTGTATACATGTTTTCAAGCATATATCCTGTAATTGAAAAGCTATTGAGAAAAACAAAATAGTTTTGAGTTTCTAATATGTATCCAAATAATTCTTATACGTTTGTAAAATCAAAGCTCCTAGTTTCCAGTGAATAGTTCGATTTAATTCAATTCAATATGTTGAATTCAGCTGCAAATTTTCAAAATGTAAATTTTGTCCAAAACTAACACTCAATGTCAGATCTATGGGATAAATCATGGTTTGGAACTCCCCTCCCCTGAGAATGTATTTTTAATCTTTACAAATTTTGCTAAATTTCGATCAGATCATTTATCGGATTCTTAAACTTCTTGTTCAGATGACATAAAATCCCTGAGTGTGAGTGACAATATGATCTTTTAGATTTCTGTTTGTTGAAAACTGTTTTTTGCAGACATCACAGGGAAAGCTTTGTCCTATTCCATGAGTTCTTCTGTGCATTCGCAAATCATTATAGATTCCAAACTGTTTATCGCACATATCACAAGAGTGCCTAAATAAGATTATATATCATAAGGAAAAATAAAACTGATAGATAGATGCTGGGTTTAGAACCTGCATTCATTCAAAGGTTTCAACTTTTGGTATAAAAATATACTTGTATAACGCTTGTTTTCGAAGAGGGCATTTTTCTCACTTTTTTATCTAAATTCCTATTTGCGTTTGTAAGTTTAATTTACAATTACAGTTAGTTAATATATTTCATTTTGAGAATAAATGAAAAGATTCCATTTGCAGAAGTACTCTTTTCTTTGAAACGAAGGGCTTTAAACTGACTCCCTGTAATTGTAATCTATATATATACTTTCCTTGTCTGTCCTAATGTCTGTTTGTTTGCATATCCAATAAACGTTAAAACGGTAGAACCGATCGGGCCCAAATTTTGTGGTTTATGAATGATCAAATTGCAAAAATTGGTATCAGCAAGTTATTTTTTTTTTTTTTAATTTTGAAAAGTCTACATATATACTTTGCTTGTCTCTCTGTCCGTTTGGATCCAATAAACGAAAAGTGGCTGAACCGATCGGGCCAACATTTTGTGTGGGACCTCACATGACCCCAGGAAAGGTTTATGGATGATCGTATTTTCAAAAAGATGCCATTAACAAAATTCGATATGAGGAAATTTTGAAAAATGCACAAATTTTTTTTATAAAATCCGCGAAATTTTTTCTAGTTTTTTTTACAAATGATAGAAAATGTTCACAGTTTTAATAGAAGATAGGCACGAAGCGCCCTAAAAGTCCAGTACCCAATATTTTGCTGTAGATTTAAAAATTTATTTTGAATAGAAATGTTTCTCCTGTTGCTTGTTTAAAAAGTGCTATTTTTTCCAACCCAACCTTTTATCTTGATGAATTCTTTGTTTGTGAAGTTTTAGATTCTTCGGAGAATTAAACAGTTTGTTGCACAGATCACATTCAAACTAGATATTCTGATACATGAATAAATAATAAAATCAAGACTGCATTTTAAATAGAAAAATAATCTTTCATTATATATTATGGTTATATCCCATGTATCAAGGTACCAAGTATATCCAATATCCATATATCAGAATACCAAGTATATCCATGTATCATGGCACCAATTATATCCCATGTATCAAGGTACCAAGTATATCCAATATCCATATATCAGAATACCAAGTATATCCATGTATCATGGTACCAATTATATCCATGTATCAAGGTACCAAGTATATCCAATATCCATATATCAGAATACCAAGTATATCCATGTATCATGGTACCAATTATACCCATTTATCAAAGTACCAAGGATATGCTATATCCATATATCATAATACCAAGTATATTCCTGTATCAGGGTACCAAGCATATCCATGTATCAGGGTACCAAGTATATCCAGGTATTAGGGTTCCAAGTATATCTTTGTATCAGAATACCAAGTATAGTCCTGTATCAGGGTACCAAGTATATCCAGGTATCAGGGTGCCAAGTATATCCATGTATCAGGGTGCCAAGTATATCCATGTATCAGGGTACCAAGTATATCCCTTTATCAGGATACCAAGTATATCCCTGTATAAGGGTACCAAGTATATCCCTGTATCCTTGTATCAAGTATATCCATGTATCAGGATATCAAGTATATCAAATATCCATGTATCAGGGTATCAAGTATATCAAATATCCATGTATCAGGGTTCCTTAATGACTGTAGAATGCATGTATCTAGTATGGTTGTCCAGGTATAGTTTACTGGATAAGCTCTTGTCACAAATAATGCAGACATACTCTCCTTGCATCTCGGAAACGTGGGATACCTTCTGCTCCTGATTGTACATGTACATCTGTACTGTATTAGAGAACATGATATAATACCAAGATTGATATGTCAATCTGAAAAAGATAAAAATTTGAAAATTCTAAAGAATAAATTTTCGATAACATTTTTTTAAGAAATAAATATTTAGATATTGATTATCATAATAAAAAATATTAGAATTTCTTTATTTCTGTGTATGTTTTTAAATGGGTTAAAGAAAATGGCAAAAATGTACAGTACTGTACAATTTACAGTGTGTATTAAATGGCCTACTCCATAAGAGTCACGCAGATCTGTATTAATCCAGGTACAATTCTTCATTATCAATGTCAATACGGACACGATCTCGTAAACTATCAATGTCAAACACTGGGCACAATCTCATAAACTATCAATACCAAACCAGCGCAGTTAAGATAAATCAAGTAAGGGGTTTTACGTAGCTATTTACAACGTAGATAATTAATGATGTACAACGTAATTCAGGTTTACGGATATAGTGTTACACTATATTAATTACACGGTGGACTAAGCCAGTGGGGTGTCGGTCAAATAGGCCTAGGATTAGGCCGGGTACTGTAAAAAGTCTGAACGCGCCATGGGAGTTGTCATAGTTAGCCCTCAGACGGGACTATGCCAAGAAAATTGACCCCTGTCGTATGTTAGTCTGGTTAAAGCGACGTACTGTACAGACAATGGTCAAGAACCAGGCTGCCATAGGATCGGGTCAGTACACGCTGTTATCTGGCAGGCCGGTACACACTGGGTAGGTCCTGTTCGAATTTAAATTTACTACGGCCCAGAGTGATTACACAGTGAACTGTCCTCAGTCGTTAAAATGTCACAACATTAGAAATTGTACTGTAACCAGAACCAGAATGATGATTTTTTGATAAACTGTAAATATCGTAGTAATAGGGGAAATAAATACCCCTTTTAGTTTCTGTGTTCCGTATCATAATCAAGCATGATACTAAGCCAACTTTCCAATACCGCATCAGACGCTAGGGAGAGCTTGGGTTCAGCGAACTGAACGTGGAGATAGGGGAGAGCCGGGTTAGGCTCTCTAGTCCTTGACGATCTCTGACTGAGTACGGTTCAAGGAGTAGTTCGTCTCCAAGATGTACAATCAATTCTACAACTCTTAATACCGTTTGCTAACATTTTTTACATTCACCAATAAAGTATTTGTTTCGTGTCCATTTGCGTGAAGGAATTTTATAGTATGAATATTTATTTCATTTTTTATTCAAGTTCTATAGTACTGTGTACTTTGAATTTATTTTAACCAAGGTGGTATTCTTCTTGGTTTTATCTAATAGTGTAGTACAGTTAACTTGCTTACAGTATAAAATCAGCAGATTGTATCACATATTAGTTAGTACATGATTCAGTAATAACATAAAGGGTTTGATTTGTACTGTGAATCCTGTTATGTAGGACACTAAGAGTTCGGAGTGGGAACAAAACGCCCAACGTTAAAAAACGCCCAAAACAAAGCGCCCAATTAAACAACGCTAATGCAACAAAACGTCCAATGCAACAAAACGCCCAATACAATAAAACGCTCAATTAAAAAACGTCCAATGTTACAAAACGTCCACATTTTCAAGAAAATTCGTAACTTTACTGTTACAGTTTCTCAAAGTCAGTTTTCTGGAGTCTCGCGCTGCGGCTAGAAGTTTAAATACAATTCATTTAAACTTTAATGCATTTCAAAGAGAAAACTTGGCGCCGTTATAGCGCCTTCAGTGTTCAAGTTACATCTTTAAGAGTTATGAAAATAAATATCTTCACTTCGTTTTGGGAATTGTAAAAATATTTTTTCTTGTCTAAAGCAATTGCTGAACACCGGAGAAATGACTACATTCATGGCGTGGCAAAGTTTTAAGAAAAATATTACAACAATGAACCTAACTTAACCAACCCTAACCCTGAAATAATACACACACCTTTTAATTCACAAATTTTTGAAATTTTTTTCCGACTTTTTTGGGATTTTTATAGTTTTTGGGAATTTGGGCGCTTTGTTATATAATTTTGTCTTCTTACATTATAATGTATAAAACATAAACACTTATTTTATGTGGATTGTTACGATATATTTTTATAAGAACAAAACTTTTGGAGGCAACATTTTAAAATTCTAGCAAAGCATTCTTTGGGGTCATGGGGTCACCCCCCCCCCCAAGAAAGAACAAAAAAAAATATAAAAAAATTGTGATCGGTCTTTCGGTTTGGGATACAAACAAACAAACCGGCACCCAAAACAAGCTAAATATAAAAATACAGAGGGTACAGAAGAGTGTTCATTGTTCAATGAATGAGGGTAGAAAGAGTACTAAAGTTATATCTCCTATTCTACTGAACCCGCTGAATATCTGACCTCGCTAACTCCCCAACCTCTTGACCGTGATCCTCGGAGTAAACGTCGGTTAAAGACCTCGAGAACCCAGGCCGGATCTACTGGTAGCGGCACTCTAGGCCTGGGGAATGCATCTTGGCAAAAAAAATAGAAGAAATAAGATTGTTGATTTTTGAAAAACGTGGCTATTAAGTGGAAGAGAGAGGGGGGGGGGTTGAAATCTTACTCAATTCTTTCTGAGACCACGTCAGTAAGAACATAATAACTGTTTTAGTACTGTAATTTTGGTTCGCATTTTTATTCAGTTTTTGGACAGACATTTTCTCGAGAAAGTTCTCGCCTTTTTAGATTTAATTTTAATTAATGTAATCTAAAAAAGCGAGAACCTTCGAAATATTGAGAAAATCTGAGTCCAAAAACTTTATAGCACGTCATGCCAAAAAAAATAGTGTTATAGGTAATTTTATAAACTTTTGTGTACTTGTCTTATTTCAATGACTCCTTTAAATCAAATAAGCTATTTAACAAATCAGAAGTCAAAATATAAAATTGATTTAAATTTTATTTTCATTTTAACTGAAAAAAAATATTATGGAAATATCCTAAATTTTTTTTTGAGAAACTCCGGGAACCAATCAAAACTTTATAGCTAATTTATTTACAGCACGTTCATTATGAAATTCAAGATGAAGTGAGAAAGAATGATAAAGCACAAAAAAGTTGCATAAAACCTATTAAAGGGACTGTCATCGTAATTTAATACGGTATCCTATTAATCTTCCTTTTAGAAACAAAGATGAAGGTATTCTTTTATCTTAAATTTATTCATGATTTTCATTTGCGGGTTCTCTCTAAACATGACTTGCGGAGTTATGCAGCAGAAACAAGGTAACAAAATTGATAAAATGTGACAAACAACAATATTTTCTTTATTTTTACTACTTAGATAAAGGTTTTAAGGACACGTCTGTCAATTCACCCTGGACGTGGAACTAGGTTGCAGGCGTGGCGTTTCTTAAATTTGATTCCAATCAGGTTTTGGTCGATAATATTACAACCTTTAAACTTACGGTCACGAAGATTTTTTATCATTCTTTTTATGATAAAAATAGCTTAATTGTTCAAAGTGTGATCAAAAGTGGAAAACGACCAAACTGTTAAATTTTGAAATGTTAGGATAGTTTCTAAATAAACTCAGAAAGAGCTTGTAGCTGCAAAAGCAAAAAACGATTTTTAACGATTTAGTTAGAGAACTGATGGTAGCAATTTTTCATCAGTCATGGGATTCGGCGTTTTCTCTCCATTTGTAACTACTCCGTGGATAAAATACGCACTCCATTTGTGACTACTCCGTGGTTAATATATATATATGAAATATACACGCAAAAACTTAAATCTTCTAAAACATTTTATTATTCATTGAAACTAATATTTGTTTTTTAATAGTTAGGCCATCTTCATTGCTTTGTTCTGCATCAGAACCAATGATATTCGCAGCATGGCATGAAATCTGCAGTATATCTAGGGCATGAAATCTGCAGTATATCTAGGGCATCAAATCTGCAGTATATCTAGGGGATCAAATCTGCAGTATATCTAGGGGATCAAATCTGCAGTACATCTAAGGATTAAATCTGCAGTATATCTAGGGGAATAAAACTGCAGTATATCTAGGGGATCAAATCTGCAGTATATCTAGGGCATCAAATCTGCAGTATATATGGGGGATTAAAACTGCAGCATATCTAGGGGATTAAATCTTCAGATTTAGTACGTCTTCCTAAAAACCATAGTTTTTTTAAAAGTTCGTTTTTTAAAAATGGTCGTTTTTATAATGCTCGTCGTTTCGTTAACGATCGTTAACGGCGACCCTCTTTTAACGATCGTTAACGAATGATCGTTAAAGATCTTGAATGCCTAAACCCAGACCTTAAAGCTAAGCCCCTCAGTATGTTCAAGGCATGTAATGACAAACAATTTGAATAGTTTGTTATTTTGTATTTTGAAGTACTTTATTAAATATTGAAGACTTTTAAGACTTAAAGAAGACTCCACGAGAATCTAAGTTGAATCCTATTTCAAAATTGTATGCACACTAACATTCAGCCAAATTAGTTTACTCTGACCCAAGGTTATAATGCAAGGAAAGTTATGTCAGAGGTGTACGCATCTTTTGTACTGCAGTGTACTGTCTCTGGGCGGTAATGTAAACACAAGAAGGATGTCACAGTCTGACATGGGATCCATCTTTCGCATAAAAAATCAACGAAATATTCTGGTCAAAGGAAACTATTAAGTCTATTTATTTATTATCAAAATTATCAAAATTATCAAAATTAAATGCTTTTATCCTCCACGGATACTAAACAAACAATGATGCATCTATTCTTGTTTACAAATTCCGCCCAGAGAGAACTGGTTTTAATATTTACGCAGAGTATACGCAACTGCAATTAACATTCCTTGCATTATAACCTTGCTCTGAACTAAGATATTAACCAAATCGGTTAGTAAAATCTTTTTGGTTAATATTTCTTGATCCGTGAAATATTGGACTACTTAATAAAAGCAAACGACTAGAAATTTTGAGTTTCCCATTGGTCAAATTCTTAAAAAGTGCTGTTTGTGAATCTGAGAGAGTGTGTGTGTGTGTGTGTTGTGTGCACTGTGTATTAGTTGATTAGTGAGGAGGAGAAGGGAAGAAA